GCCCACCCAACTGCCAACACATTAGCATATGAAAAGACACTTATCACTTAGGAAAATCCAAGGATTTTAGGAGTATGCCAAGAAACTAGATGGCAAGCAAATACATACTTTACAATATATTTCCTTCAAGAATCCAAGGAACACAGATTTAGTCAAGAACACATCCTTGTTGCTCTCATGGTGGGTGCAAAAGAACATTAGCCATCATAAAGTTGATGCATAATTTTAATTATGAGACATTTTTTAAGAAAAGAAGTAGATAGCAATTGACCACAGAAAAGAGAAATTGAGACTGTAAAAAGAGAAAAGTTGTCTTAGAATTGATGCCTGAGCTGGGCATAAGGACACACTCCTGCAGTCCTAGCTACACTGAAAGAGGCAAGAAAATTGTTGGAGCTCAGGACTTCTAGGCCAGAGACTACGCACATTAAGTATGAGATTAATAGGGCAACCTCCAGAGGAAGGGGATCACCAAGTTGCCCAAGAAATGAAGCACCATCAAAAGGACAGAAATGGAGAAAGGTCCAAATTGAAATACATCAGAAATACATCAGAAATGGAGCAGGTCCAAATTGATGCCTGAGTTGAGACAGAAGAATGGGAGTTATCTAGGTGAAATAGAAAAGAGAAGAGCATTGCAGTCAGAAAGGACAAAATGTATAAAATGCATTTGGCAAGAAAGTACATGATGACAAACAAAATCCCTTCTGAAGTTGAAACAGAGAGAAAGCAAGAATTGACGATAAGGGCAATACCAGAGCAATAGATAGGACACTGGAATGCAAAACCTCTTCAATCATGTTAACAAGTTTCTTGTATTGTTAGCATATGTGGAGAGGGAAAAAAGAATATTTGACATAATTAGGGGACTGTCTTGGCTGCAATATGCAGAAAAGATTAAAGAGTGTCCGTGCTCATCAGCTTTTTGTTGCTGTGACAGATGCCTGAGAAAAATCAACCTAAATGAGTAAAGATTTATTTTAGCTCATGGTTTCAGAGGTTCAGTTCATGGTCATTTGACTCAAGTGTGGTGTGCCTGTGGCAAGGCAGAGCACCGTGATGGGGGACACATCACAGAGCAAAGCTGTTCACCTCATGACAGTCACAAGCAAAGAAGGAAGAGAGTACAGGGAACAAAATATACCCTTCAAGGGTGTATTCTGTGACTTACTTCTTCCTACTAAGCCTGCCTCTTAAAGTTTGTACTACCTCACCATAGCCCACTAAGCTATAAGTCCTTCTGTTGATTATATTAGACTCTTTATGCTTTAATCCCATCCCAAATCCCCCCCCCTTTTGAGCATTGCAAAAGGGATGACTAACCCTTCAACATCTGGGTATAGGGAGACATTTCAGATCCAAAGTATAACAGTGCCATTATGCAAATTATTTATACTTCAATTAACAAAGTATGTATTCATACTGGTTTAAGAGAAAATATTTGTTGGGTCTAAAATTGTAAACTGTGTCCAAAAACAGATATTCAGACATTAGGAAACACTTGCTCAGTGCTGTTTTCAGGAATACATCTCTGGCACAGATCTGGTCTCCACTGTGTTCACCTTATTTTTAGGTAAAATCTCTCCTTGTAGTTGGCATCCTAGAACCAAAAATATCATATATTATTACTTCAGCAGAAAGAGAACCTCCTTTTTCCTGTAGTTCCAGCACTGGCACTTATTAAACACCTTTGATCTCATTTCTATTAATGAAACAATCATTATGGCCACAGAAGAGGAGGTACTCACTGTCACAGCTCAATAATTGCTCACTTCTGGAGCCAGATTGTGTTGTCAGTTCCACCTGGACAACATTACTGCGAGGAGGGAGTGGAGAGCTCCCATAGAAAAACCTAACGCTGTAGGCAGAAGTAGAAAATCTAGAACAATAGTAACAGAGTAAGAGGATATTGTGGTAGTAAGAAGTTATTAGATAATGTGGTAGATTAAATATGAATACAAATGTATTACGGCTTCCTCCAGTGAGCAGTGGAGTTTTGTTTGCTTCTCTTTGATTCTAGGCTAGCTGTAGTAACTTGCTTGATGAAAAGAATATAGCAGAAGAGATATTCTGGGACTTCCACTACTACATCACAAGAAGCCTTGCAACTTTTGCCTGCATGTCCAGGCACATTTTCTGTGAAGAAACTCAAAATAGCTGTGGGCTTTGGAAACAAGATATAACTCTTTAAACTTTGGTTTAGTTATTTGTACAATGATAAGCACTCAATAATTGCTTGTTGCTACTTACTCATTGTTCTTGCTTAATCTGTATTGAAATGAATTCAGTAGCCTAGAGATAGAGTTTGTCTTACTTTTCCTTTTATGCAAAGTTATTTTATAAGATTTCAAAACTAATAATGCTAGTGTCCACTATTTATTATCTTATTATAGGCTAATCAATAACCAACTAAAATATCCATAATGGGAATTCTTACAGGAACTAAATTTGATGTTCTATGATTTTGGGGACAATGTGAGAATATTCAGTGCTGATATTTCCAGAAGTACTTTGCTATTCAACCAGGGCTTTTCTGAAGTTGCAAATAGCCACACATTCATATCATTCCAAGAAAAATCACCTCTGCAATTTAGAGAATTAAATTACCATTATAATTTAGTAACCATTATAACTCCAAAGACAGAATTTCAGGAAATACCACTTTCAGATTAAGTATTTTTAAAAATGCCACATTGAAGAGGAACTTCTGCATATCATGTAGTCACTGATTTTATCTTACTTGCATCTTTCAAATGAGAGGAAAGCAGAGAAAATCAGGACACCCTGACTTACATATCAACCCTCTTCCAACTAGCACTTACCAATGCTCATGATCTCACTGTGCTCACTTGTCGTACATCACTTAGTGAGTTTGGATTACCCACCCATGAGTGGAAAAGAGCCTGTTTGATTCACTTCCTGGGAACGTCCTCCCCTCAGGCACAGATGAGGAAGGGAACATTGTCTTTGTTGCTTGTAGAAATTTTACCGTTTGTCTGTTGCATGTTTTTCACCAGCTGAAGTAACTGGTCTGATACAAACTCAGAGGCACCCCAACTGTTCACTGTAGGAAAGCTTACAGATGGCAAAATCCCCTTTTTCCTTGAAGCTCTTGTCAGTTCCACTGCCAAACATCCACTTTCTTGAAGAAAAGGAGACTTACATCTGAGCCACTGGCGAACCAATTTCCAAACACTTATCCAAAAAAGTACGTATGCCTACAAGATGTGCTGTGCCAAGCCATTACTGGGTAGGCATCAGCCCTCAGTGTTCGTACATTGGCAGTAGGATTAGTTGATCAACATGGCACGGAACGTTGTTACTCATACACTGTCCTAAATCAAGATCACTGGGAAGGTTCTAAGTTCTTTCAGTCATTAAAATATTCACTAAGAATATCAAATGCACTTTTAAAATTAGTAGTAGTATTTGATGGATTTGAAAGAAAAGGTATTTTCTGCCACTTGAATTAAAAGTTTTATTTTCTATTTAATTTTATTAAATGGAACAGAATATACTTATGTTTTAAAATTAACATTTATAAACCCCAATATTTGAAAATATTTTCCTTTTGATTGTACTAAGAACGACAAATTTCCAACCACTATACAGGTATATCAGAAGAAGAAAATGCACCTAACACAGCAGCTAACACGAGTAAATTACTCAAACTTGCATTGCAGCCATGTTTGAATATCGTACCACTGAATTCTCTTCACCTGAACTCCTTATACTCCTGAATCAGGTAAAGACATATCTGTGTGGTAGACATCAGCATTGTGTTTCAGACCATGACTGTGGCCAAGATTTTTCAATTCAGTTTTCTCCCACCCTTATGGAATGATTTAGATGCCTTCAAGCTTGACTACAAGACAAGTAGAAGAAAAATGTGGAGAAGGGGAAGTCTTCCTGAGAACAGTAGTATCACCAAGCCTTAGCAGATAGTATGCATATTTTGATGAATTTTAAACTAGCATACAAATCAGAGGATGAAGCAATCTGTACTTGTTCCTCATTAATACCTATTTTTGATGCTTCTAGAATATTTCCTTTTTATCTCTCCCAGTATAAACTTGTGAAAATTATCTCAATGATTGTCAGTCATAAGTTTTCTCACTTAATTATCCTATTTTTCATCTCAAACCTTTCTGGAAGTGCTCTACAAAGATGAAATAATAAAAGACACATATCCATTTCATACACACACAGTATGATCAATTAATTTTTAAATTTTTAACTGTAAAAAAGAGGAAGACAATTATAATCTGCTCCAGGCTACCATTATTTATGTACATTTTCTTATGCTGGCACTCTAACAATACAAAAAAGCCCCAAATGATAATATTAGTGTATTAATATGTCAAGATATTTTTGTCAGGTAGAAAAATTACAGAAGTCTTAACTCATGATTTCTAAAGTATTGTAGATATTAAGATGATGTGATATTGAATGATCTTTTTGCTGAAACATGTGTTACTGTCCTGAATAACTTTTCCCTGGAATTTACACAAACATGACTTGACAATATATGGTACAATACTAAGATAAAAGAAATTTTTTTCATTTAGTAGCATCCCTCAAAATATTTTTTAAATGGAAATATTATATTTTCATTTGTGACATTAACGGGACCTAAATTAGGTACATAAAATGATAGACATTTAGACTTATCTATAAAGTCATCTCTACATTTTTAACCCACGTTTAAAAAGATCATGTTAATGACTGCTAATTCCCTTAGGAGTGTTCTAAAAAGTCAAGAACCAAAATCTTTCTTTTAGTAAGAAATTTTATTTATGGTGGAATTTCCAAAATTTCTTATATCTTGAAATTATCCACAAAGTATTATTTAGTGCTTACATTAAAAAGATGCATCTCTTGTAAGAAAAGATCAAAATGTATACCACTAGTCAGCATTAATATATTTTTATTTAATACAATATAACCAAAAGATTAAAGAAAAAAACAACTGTTAAATATATTTAAAATTCCCTGTAATTGATTCTCAGATGTTAAAATGTTTTAAAGAAAAGAAAATATCTAAATATCAGAGATAATATTTTGATGAACAATATTTATAAAACATACATATATTTAAGTTAAGCATTGCAACAGGTTACATTTAATAAATTGCCTCCTATTAGAAACAGTCTTATTGAAACTTTGTATCTGAAGCAAAGAAGGCAAAGATGGAGATAAAGAAGTGAAAAAGAGGGGGCAGAAGAGAAAATATTAATTGTAATTGTGACTTTTAGTTAAATATACTTTCTTATAAAGTGGCAAGATATTATTTACAAATTTACAACTGACAAGGAATCGTTATATACAGGTTGTCTTCATACTGGGCCTCCTTCCTCCTGTGTAAGCAGGCTGTCCCAGCAGAACTCATCTAGACTGGGCACTAGTTCATAGCACATGATAGACAAGCCTGGAACTGGAGGCCCCTGGAGTTACAGGCTGTGAATCCGTGCTGGCAACTGGAGAGAGAGAGGCTGGATCTTGCAGAGGCAACCCAGGTTGCTCTGAGGAGGTGATCCGATCCACTATGCTGGACAAGCAATCCAAGCTGGATAAGGAGTTTTTGTCTGTGGCATATACTAATGACACAAGGAGAAAAGCATTATAAGAAATTATCCCCAGATAGACGAGCTTATTTGCCCCTTAAACTGTAGGTCAGCTCTTTTGACACCAGAGGTCAGGGGGCCATGGAAAGCCTGATGTAGAAGTTTACAGCAAACATCAACAATTCCCAGCGGTGGAGGAGTGCATGTGGTAGTCCCCGATAATATTTCAAGCCAAAGTGTGTGTGTGTGTGTGTGTGTGTGTGTGTGTGTGTGTGTGTTAGGAGTTTTGGAGCAAAATATGTGAGTTTACTTTACTCTGAAGCTTTATCATATAAATCATCACTTTCATTCTCTTCCCCAATCTCACCTGAAAGAACAGATTCCACTTTGATACAGTGACTTATGTGGTTGAATTATTCTTTAAATGCCTCTGAAGTTATCAATTCTTACCATTTGATACATCTTGACAGTAGACGCTGTCAAAACTGCTGCTCTTTCTGGACCAGAGAGGACTATTACATTCAGGCTATAATACAAGACACAAAAGAAGTTTGTTTTCAGGTCTCGGCAAAAGATGTTCTGACCTACGTCAAGGCCAGGCTTGTGCACCGGCTCCTTAAACTGGTCACTCTCGATCACCTTCTTTACTTTGATTTAGGACTGGTTATCCCTCTCGGAGTTGCCAGGGCGCTGAGGTCAAACTCAGTGCTCACAGGGGAGAACAGCAGCAAAGGGAAGAGTGGGTGGAATTCAACAGCAGCGCGCACTGGGTTAACCATGTAAAATGGATTGGAGTCCAAGGAAGCTACACTAATTCTGGGAGAGAATATTTTCCCAGGGCAAAAACACATTAAAACCTGGCAGCACTGAAGCGAACGCCTTCTGAAAAGAATGCATCAACATCGCCTCCCAGACAGCCCTCAGCAAAGCGACACTGGGGTCATGATCTATTCCTGTGTCTCCAGTAAGTTATGAATGGAGGGGCACAGGGACCCTGAGATGTTAATGTACGGCAGTGTCCACCGGTGGTAGATTTGGGAAACAAGCTTACTAACGGAGAAAACAACTGATCTCTCATGCACAGCCGCCTCTGGCACTCACCAACCTTTTCTTACGATGTACATCTAGAACCTGAAGTCAAAGCTAGTCTTATTCCACAGCTGTTTCCTGACGCCTTTGTAGATTCCTGACACCTTTCTAGATTTCTTAAAACAACTCAGCAACTGCGTCCACCACAACCCCTCCACTACACTACAGCTGGTTTAAAGGGGGAAATGAGGAATTTTAGAAAAGACTGGGGTAGCGGAGAGTGGGCCCCAGCGCTGTGGCTCACCATGCCATCGGAGCAGTCGGAGGTGGGGCTGGTGGGCTCCGAGCAGCTCTGTCCCGGCAGGCTGTAGTAGTTCTCCACCTGCTCCCGCAGCAGCTCCTGCAGGCTCTCGATGTAGCGGATGGCGTTCCTGAGGATCTCCACCTTGGGGAGCCGCTGATTAGGGTTGGTCGTGGTGCACCTCTTGAGTGTCTCGAAAGCCTGGTTGACCTTCTTCAGGCGCCTCCGCTCGCGCATGGTGGCCGCCTTCCGCCGGTCCATGGTGGTGGACTTCCTCTTGCACGCCTTGCAGGCCCACATGAGGCAGTGCCCGGCCTGGTGGTGGCCCGTGGGCGCTCGCACGTGCTCGTCTTCGTCTGAGCCTTGCAGCTCCGGTTTGTGCACCCCGAAGGCAGCCACTCGGGGTTCATACTCGTCCCCAAACTCACCCTCCTCCGGGGACGGGATGCAAGAGCCGTCGTAAAAGTACTGGGAAGGCGAGAACTGGCAGCCGTCCATCAGGTCCATCCCGCAGAAGGGCAGGCCGCGCACCTGGGCCGCAGCGGGAGAGAGGAGGGAGAAACAGGGGCAGGTCGGGGGCGGGAGCCCGGTTGGCTTCTCCGGTAATTAGCGAGGGCAGACGCCTGTCGGCCTGGGTCGCGGCTGGGGTTGGGGCTCTTTATATATTCGTGGGGTGGGAGGGTGGGGGAGGGAGGGAGCTGGCCCCTGCGGCCGGGCACCATTAGCATATCGCACCGCAACCCCCGCGGGGCTGTCTGGGCAAACCTCCGCCTTTCCTCCAAAGACGTTTGCTGCTTACTGGCCCCCAGACGCTAATGGTTTTACTGCCTTTCTACAAGGCGGGATGGTTCTCCAACCTGTTCACCGGCATGCTGCGGATAATCTGATCCAATGGGTCGCTTAAGAGTGGCACAAACAAAAGGAACGAGGATAGTGCACCTTGTGGCAATTACAATTTACAATAGCAACAACAGTAGTAATAAATGGTAATTATTACTATTCATTATTACTCTGCACTGTCAGCTGACAAAGAAAGTCGACGCGCCCTCTCAAATTTGTACCTGAAAAATCACTTTATTCTTAGAGGGTTTACTTCTCTTTTTCATGAAACTTACCTCAGGAATTTTTTTCATTCTGTGGGCTAGAAAATGGTTGCAAAAATGTTTGAAGTGGCGCTTTCAATCATGAAGCTCATCTACAGTCTGTTAAAATCTATTCTGTATGGATTATGAAGAGTAGAGTGCTCACCAGACTGTCATGTCATAGGCTCTGAGAGTGGGTGGGAAGCTTTCTTTTCCTAAAATAGGGTTCCCTGGACTGTGAGCATCTAAAAGGAGGTGTGCTCAAGAGGGCCAGGTGACAGGGAGCGCTCCTTCTCCTGCTTCATTTTTTCCCTGGCTGGTATTTGCTGAGTCCCTCCTGCTTTGTCAGTCCTGCTAGACCCTGAGTCGGCCTAAGTTCCCAAGGAAAGTGTCTCTAAGGCAAAAATTAGGCAATGGAAGAAGCCCAGTTTTAGCTTACAAACCCCTTTTCCGGCTTCCTTTCTCCCTCTTTCTCTGCCCCACTCTATTATTTCTACAGACTAAACAGCCAAGCTGGAGTTTAGTTTGGGGTCGCTAATTTTCTGCTTTCAGGCAAACTAACACCGTTACAGATGCATCCCAGCTGCTGGCATAGCATCCCCCGCTAGTGTAAAATTTCCAATTCCTTCAACCCAGAGTGACTTCACACACGTTGGTGACAAAAGGCTTCCAGAAAAGCAATCGCAGCAGAGTCTTTGAAACTTTGGTGGGTAGAAAGGAAGAGGGGAAGGCTTCCATTTAAGTAAAAGAGTGTATTTATCAGCTTTTATCAGTTCTCCTCCACCCGTGACCCACTTTCAGACCATTGGGGTGTGGGGAGATGCCGTTTATACTTAGGAAAAACAATTTTTAAGTTTAACACAAACATTCTGGAATTTGGGACTGCAGCTTGTGTCCCCATTGAAAGAAAAGGGAATAGTCTCACTTCTGCCTGGCTCATCCAATTTAATAAGCATTGTGGCTCTGAAGTTATTTGGGATGGGAAGGAGATGTGTTGAGTAATTATTTTGCAAAATTATTTTCCCTCTTGGCTGACCTCGCATCTGCAGGGGCAAAAGTAGCTGAAACTTTTTCTGTGTGCAATCATTTGGAAGTTAAGGTACAGGAAACCAGAGGTAGGAGAGTGACAGTGTCAGTCCTCGGGTTGCCAGCCACACCTGCATTCCGTCCTCTACCTGCATTCTTTCTCTTCCATCCCCTCTAGTTCTGTCATCTCTGAGAAGGATTTCCCTGGAAAAGCAGACGCCCTCTCCCACAAAGTGGCTGCTTAATCATCTGTACTTTGTTTAAAAATTATTTAGGTAATTTGTATTTGCCAGTATATGCCTTTGAAATGAATACAGTACCCAGGGACACACCAGAAAAAGTCAAGTTCCTGGAGCACTCAAGGTCCTTACCACACTAGTGGAAGAATTTGAAGCACTGCACATTGCTCCCTCTGAAATGCCATTGTGGGAAGATAGGCTTACCCAGGAATTCTCAGCCAAGTCTCACAGGCTCTATCTAGGCTGCAGTCCTAGAGCCACTTTTTTCCTCCTGTGTAGTCCATTGTAGTACATCCAGAGAAAATAAAACAGAATTCTGATTTGGACACAAATAAACTTGGCCCTTGAAGTAGAAGACAGAGGTTATGTTTCTGTCTGCTTTCCAGCTAATTTCTGAAAACATTTAAGGTGCTTTGTGCCCAGTCCTTTTGGCCAACAGATATTGAGAGTTTTCTATTTGTTGAGAGTTTTCTATTTGCTGAACACTGTTCCTTAACCCGTTCTATGTACTTACTCAGTTAATCCTTCAAGGAACTCTGTAGGAACTATAAGCAGACACAATATTTTAAGAGGGTAAAAAAAAAAATTGTAAGGGTTAGGTAATTTGTCCCAGGTCACAATAGATTGAAAACTAGGTGCTTGTCCTTAAAGATCATGCTCTTAGAGGTGATTTCGTTTGTTTTCTTCAATCACTTCAGACTCTGAGCCTTGAGCTCAGAGCAGAAACTCACAAAAAGCTGGCTCCTGGACATTTTTGCCCTCAGCTCCTGTGCCTGGGAAGACACTGTCACTCAGGAGCAGTGTTCTCAGAGGTTAGGGCTGGCTTTGGTAAGGTGATCTCAAAACAAATTTACCAGAGTGCCTGGGGCCAGTGGAACTAAAGAAGCCGAGAAAACACAAGGGCCTGGCTTAATGAGACCAGCCAGAGAAGGGAGGGGGACAGGGTCCTGAGCTGAGGGCCCTTGGGACTCAAGTGCTGAAAATAGGCTCTCAGGGCACCAAAGTAAAAAATGAGACAAACTTTTAAACCGTTGTCGGGGAATGGAGCAGAAAGAGTTCAAAAAGCAAGAAACAGTACAAAAGAAGGAAGGCAACCAGCGCCTGCAAATGACAGGAGACTCCAATTCAGGCTTAGTTCTCTACTCTTTCCCCAGGAGAGATTTTTAGAGAAAATAGTGGAGAACTGACTGGGTGAGCCACATGGACAAAATGTTTTTAATGGAGAAACTGAATGAAGCAGCATGGGGAAAATTAAAATTTGCTTTTAGAAAGATGAACAAGTTGTCAGCGTGCCCTATTTTACTCAACAGACTAGATTGGATTTTACTGAATATATTATAATTTGCTTCCCACTTTTCCTTCAAAACAGTGAATCTTACATACGAGAAAACTCCAATTAATTTAACATGGAAACAGGTTGTTAGAAATACCACTCTAACACTTCTAGGAAAGTAAACAGAGGAGGGGAAGAAAATAGCCACACCCAGAACTGTAAAGGAGTCGCACCAAGATGCTCCTGAGGAAGATGCATAATTTATTTACTTACATTTTTAAGCTTTGCATTGTAAGCAAGAACAGACACATGTTTGATTTTCTAACACTTTAAACTTACAAATATTTTTCAATTGTAATGACCTTGAAGTGACCATCAACTTTTTCTTTTAACAGAATCTATGTTGGTTTAACCATTATGACAACAAAACAAACAAAACAAAATAGGTAAGGGTGGACAGTTCACACCAGCAAAATGATGCTTATCATTTTTTGTAGTAAATTTTGCCCAGACTAGGAATTCTGCATTATTGAACATGCTGTGTGATTCTTTTGGAGAAACCAAATACACATAGGAGGATTAACCTATTTCAATTCACTGCCCCTACCTGCAGACTCTTACCAACTGCTGGACAGTGAGGGTTATTCTTGAGAGTTCTGCTTAGTATAGATGATTTCACAATGTGCTAAACAATTTCAAACTGCTATTAGCTTTGAGAACAGGGCACACCTAAGTAAACATATTAGTACCTGCCAGAGCTGTTGGAAGAATTTGCAGAGAAGACAGCTGAGGAAGACATTGGCCTCCGCTTGAATTCAGAGACTCCCAAGAGAGATCAAAGGACTAAGGACATTTAGCAGCCTTGAGAGTAGAGAAAGTAGTCGTTCTTAAAGCATTATCTTTGCCCCAGCACATTGCATAGCCATTGTTTCTCACAGAGTGACTCTAAACTAGTACAAAACAGTAGCTTTTAACACAGAGAACCCTCTAGGACCAAGGATTTTTTTCTCTTTTGCTTGTTTTTGGTAAGTGTAATTAATTTGAGGGAATGACTAGAGAGACCTGTGGGAGGAAATACCAAATTATTGCTAACTTACTAATGCATTGGATTAAGCAGTGAGATATTCAAAGTAAAGCACTGAAAAGAATGTTCAGGTATAGTGTTGTGGGAGGGAAGGTTTTGAAATGAGGAAAGGGAGTAGCACAGATAGTCAATTCTTCTAAGTTTAAGGAATAATGTCTTAATGAGCATAAGGTCACTTTTAGTACCCAAATTTTCTTTGCCACCCTCAACAGTATTTGGAAACACTGAATTTCTGCACTCCCCCAACCCTAAGAGCCTATGAAAGAGTTTAGAAGAAAAATGAAAAAGAAAAGAGTTTAGAAGAAATTTCCACAAAGTCCAAAATTGGAACTCAATATTCTATATATGATGAGTAAAATTAGTTTGAGAAATAACACTTTCTGTTCTATAAATTACTTCTATAATGATATAACAGAAAACAACCTATTATTTTATACTTGAAAATTTTATACAAAGCTCTGGAAAGAGGCTTCGATTCAATTCCAAGTTGTTTATCTTTACCAAGTCATTATGGCTTGATTTTCTACTTCCCCAGCCCTGTTTGTTTTGGCTTTGGCCTTGGTAAAGATTATCATCATTAATATCAAACAAAAACATTTTAATTGCAAACACACCAAGAATTTCATTGGAAAGTCCTATGTCAGCTACGGCAGGGGAGGTCACATGAAGTCTTTGGGAAATATTTTCTCTATTTAATGAAGAGACTTCCATAGGCAAACTTACTCCAAACAATTTCTCAAGTTACCTAGCTAAGAAAGATAGAAAGGATTTGGTTTGCAAAGACCAAATAAAATCCATCAGCAAGCAATCCGTGAACTGATAAAAAGTTCTGCTGCTGAACAATTTGTAACACAAAACTTACTATACATATAAATACAATCATAAAGAAAGTGAGTTAGCTTAATCAATTATGATACATTATTTCAGTTATGTAATAAATTTGATTTTTAAAACTATAGGTATGTACATACCTATACATTTTAGGGCAAATCCTTACTGATAATCTGGAAAAAATTCATACGTGCGTAATATACATGGTTAATGGAGGATACACAGCATTCAGATATTTCACACACATTTTGGTGAGATAATTTCATTGGTAAGTGTTTTATCATTTATTTCTCAAAGAAAGCTATTGTTCTAATTTGGAGTTCAAGTAGCTAGTCATTCTTGGGAAAAGAGATTTTCTTCAGAGTGAGCCAAATTATCTTACAGAACATAAAATGCTCCTAACGTCCCAAAGCTTCTCTTTCGGGGATCAGGGCAGTTGGGAGAAGAAGGTTTCAGCCATTGATAACTGCCTGGCTCTGAGACCTGGCTTTCTACTTAGCAGATGGTGGGCCCTCTCTATTCCAAGGAATCCTCTCCTCTAAAGTAGAAGTAGTAACAGTACCTGTCTCGGTGGTTGTTGTAAGATTATGAGTTAATACAACACCTACTAAAACTGGGTCATTCATGTTATCTTTGTTCTCATTGTTATCAATATTTTCTCCAGCCAAAGCCAGCACAGGTTGAAGGAATCATGCCTTTGATGGAAGAAAAACTTTTCAATGGTTCAGTGAGTTTTACTAATGCAAAAATAGAGCTGCTATCCTGTGTTTATTTGTACCCTCTTTGGCTTAGTACTTTACATGTGTTATCTCACTGAATCTTCACAACCCCAAGAGCCAGGCACTTGACTAAGAAGGACTGGGAAGTGACTAGTCCAAGGCAACACAATAGCAGCCTGGATTTAGTGCAGGCAGTCAGTTTCATGGAAGCTCAACAGCTGGATTCACTAACCCTTTCACCTGCCTCTCTCAAGCCTTTAAAAGGGATTATATGTCAATGTCTGTTTCCTCTAGGAACTCGTCTGCAATTTGAAAGTATTTCAGAATAAATAGAATATCCATATGCTAATAAAGCAAACTACAGGCGCAGCATACCTAATCCAAATTCTGAAATACTCTGAAATACAAACATTTGGACTGCTTCCAGAGAACTCAAAATGTTTCAGATTTTGGAGCACTTCAGAGTTTGGATTTTTGGATTAGAGATGCTTAATCACAATGTCTATGCAAATATTGCAGAATCTGAAACTCTTCTGATTTCAAGAATTTCAGATACTTAATCTGTATTACCCATAGGAACAGGCATTCTTTTCTGACCTGAGAAAGGAGCAAGATATAGCTGGGCACCTGCAGGGTACTTTCTGTCTGTGGTACTTTCTGAAACTTCTGTGGAGTGCAATAAATAGTAAGGTCCAGCAATTTCAGGGCTAGGAAGCAAGGAAGCAAGGCTAGGAAGGCTGGGCTGCAGAATGCTAAACTCTATTTGATTTGAAGCCTAGCTGTGGGGTAAAACAGAAAGTAGAAGTTAAGGAATAGGGGAAGGGAGTAAAGGAATGATTTACGGAATGTAAGAGAGATGTGGTAATTCCAAAGAAATGGTTTGCTCCTGTCCTCTGCTTCACTTCCCACTGCGTTTCTTGGTGGTCGTTTCTTCCTGAAGTTACTAGATAAACAAACCTGGCACACGTTGTAAAATCCTCATGGCGAGGAACTCCTGCGGCTTCCAGCCTCTCCGGGACTTTGCTGTTTGGCCCAGCTAAGAGGTTTCATGTGTGTTGTTGTTGTCTCTTCCCTTCAGCCATTTAACCCTTCCTTCTCATGAAGCAAGCCCTTACCTCAAGAGACAGATTGCTCCCTTCTTTTATCTTTCTATTTGGAAAACAAACTCAAGCCCAAGAGACTTTGAGGATATTCCGGTCTGCCAGGGACCAGTCTAGTTCAAGAAAACTAGGGGAGGAGGCCAGTGTGGCCCCTGAGTACTGCAGACTACCCTGGGGAACAACCTGGAATGTCAAAGAGGGAACAATTCATTCTAACAGGACTGAAGACCATATAGGGAAATAAGCAAAGACTTCTGCTTGGAATTTCTTGCAGTAAGATTTTGCTAGACTGAATCTTGTCAACCTTGGGTGTGTAAATCTTACCAAGACTGCCAGTGTATAGAACAGTAGAACAGAAAAGATGATGACACAAGAAAAACTACGGCTTCCCTCTGAATACTCTTTACATTCGATCCTAAGTGAGAGATCTACCTGAAATATTGACGTGCCCAGTTTAATTCAGAAAAAAAGAACTCATTCCATGCTGCCTTTGTCAGCATGAAAAAGAACACTTAAATAAATGGGCTTTTGCTGTGTCTAAATTAAAATATTTCTCCTTTTTATTGTTTCCCATAGACATATTTTCTCAGTTGAATCAAATTTAAACCAACTTTATTCATATAGAAACTTATTTTTTAATATTACAATACCGGGATCCTCACACATTTTATATACAATTCATCATTCCACGTTTAAAATATATTTCTTAGGTTTACATAAAAAAGAAAGTACTAAGGTTATTTACAAAAATACATTTAAGTACCACTAAAATTAAACATTTCCATTTCGACAGGAATGAACTTCTTTTGTATTGGCACAAAAGAATCACTGTAACAAAAGCGAATACATAACAAAGCCAGTAACAACAAAAATAAGGGTGCTAGACCTAAGCCACTCCAGGTTCCAAAGAACAAAAGCCCGAAGCCAAAGGCCTTTTTCGTTTGAATCTGCACAACAGTTTCTTTGAGAATAGGTCTCTCTGTCCCTTTCAAAAACGCTGAAATCTGAGTTCCTAAATATTAATGCAACGTGATCTAATCTACACGATGAGGCGGAGGGGTCTTCCTGCCCCTGGGCGGAAAGGTCCAAGCGCTCTGCGGCAGCGGTTACTTCTCCACCACCTCCTCCACGCCCGGGAGTTTGCGCTCCTCGGAGGAAATACTGTCCACGATGGAAGAAAGGCATCGAAGGCTGCTCGAGGCGGACGAATCAATGCTTGCTCCGCCTAAAGACAGAAAGAAACACACAGGAACATAGCGCTCAAGGAGTATCCGACCCTCTGCGCCCCGAAAGGCGCTGAGGCAGCGCTCAGGAGCTCGCGCTCCTCTCCGGGCGGGAGCTGAGCTGCGCCCCGCGCTCACCAGTCCAGGGGCCCCTCTGGCCCTGCACGAGCACCCCGGCTCCCTCCCGCGATGCTCTCGTCTAGGCCCAGCGCTCTGCCTTTTACTTTACCTTCCTTAGCAGTTATCACCAGCCCCCTGGAATGATCCGAAACACTTGGCCACTGGGAGCTGCAGGTGCGCAGGAAATCCGCACCCTCGAGCTGGCGGGAAAACCAAAGCAGAAGATTAGGAGAGAAACAGAAATTCCTGGGGAAGGGGTGCTTTCTGGGGTTGTCTCCCCTGCTTCCTTGGGCCGGTACGCATTTCCTGCCTATTGCAGAGACCTGGTCTTCGTGGGTCACTGGGGGCTCCTTACAGAGCAGGAGGGGCAGGCGAGAAAGGGGGAGGGAGAAGGAACCAGGCAAACAGCTGAGTGAAGGCCCCAGGAAGCCCTTCAATCAGCCTTTGCGCTCCCTGCCCGGCAGCATCTGGGCTTACAGTTTCTTGCTTGGGTCTGTAGCTGAAGGGGTCCACCCCCAGCTCCTGCATTTTCTCCTGCTGGTCCAGCCGGTGCAGCAGGTCCTGCAGTCGTTCAATGTAGCTGATGGCGCTGCGCAGAATCTCCACCTTGGGCAGCCTCTGGCTGGGGTTTGCCACGGTCCTCCGCTTCAGTGCCTCAAAGGCCTCGTTGATTTTCTTTAGCCTTCTCCTCTCGCGAAGGGTGGCGGCTTTCCGCCGGTCAGTGGGGGCAGATTTTCTCTTACAGGTCTTGCAGGCCCAGATGAGACACTGGCCGGGGCAGTGGGGAGGCTGCAGGCCGGGGGGCGCCAGTACATGTTCTTCTCCACTGCTGTCACTCCCAGCTTCCGGGGGTATTTGGTCCTGGCAGGGGGACAGGGTACCATCACTCCCTGGGTACAAAGGAGAGCCCTCTGCCACTTCTAAGGGCTGCAGAGTAACATTTTCCCCGTCCAAGTAGAAGAAATAGGAGCCAGTTTCAAAAAGGTCCATCATCATGTTCTCCTCCTTGGCCTCTGACTGGATCTGAACTGGGTGATGGACTCAAAAACCCAGAGGAACCACCCAGATGGCATTTAATTAGTGCGGTGACATAAGGCGACCTAGCTTTATATATAGTAGCTCCTGAAACTCTATCCAACTTTTAGCTGTCATGGAGCATCAGTCTCCCAATGTGATTACAGTCACTGCTCTCTAGAACGTCTAGTTTGAAAGAAAACTGAGAAGTGTCACCTCCCTGAGCAATGTGACTGTCTGTGTGAGCAACAGGTTAGGAGGAAATACATAGAATCGCATAATTTAAACAAAGCATCGAATGTTTTCATTCGGGACAGTTTAGACAGTAGACCTGCTTACAGGACAACTTCAAAACAACTGGGGATTAACACTGTCCCCTTCCCCTCCCCCTGAGCTCATCAGAATTCTAAGTATAGAGTCATGATGAAAGATTTCAAAGGCAATAGCCATTGCTCCAAAATAGCCTGGTTAATATTTGCAGTGTGGTTCCGTGTGGCTCTTTTCTCTCTCCTGCCTGTCAAAAAGTTGCTATTCCTGTGATTAAAACCATTACAGTCCTTCAAAAGTTATACATGACTTTCAGGCTTCAGCCTCAATAGAAGCAGGTAAATCTCTTTCCTCTCTTTTACTAAGGCTGTAAGATGCATTGGGAACTGGTGGGGTGGTTGACGGGTGCTCACATCCCATATTACTGTATGAAGTGACTCTCTGACTTTCTAGATCCTTCTATGGTTATGTTTGTTTTACTTGGAGAAGGGCAACCACAGTTTAAATTGCTTCCTTCCATGGTAGAGCAGTAGAAGACATAAGATGCACAGGCTGAGATAGGTGATAGGATACAGTATGTGTAATTACTCTTCTTTAAAAAATACTTGTAGTGACAAGACTCACACCATAGCTATTGATATATATATATATATATATATATATATATATATATATATTAGTACGTATCTGGGCCTTCTGTTTTGTCCCATCGTACTCATTGGGTGCTCCCTATTTTGTCATCCACATTCTGCTCATTGACTGCGTATAAGTTGTTTAGTAGGATTTACAGGAGAAAGGTAGCAATCAAGGCACAAGCAAGAAAGTAGAATTTTTGATTGCAGCTTGTCTATGGTCCAACACACACACACACACACACACACACACACACACACAGTTCCTTAGGAGGCAGTATATTGCCAAGCTGAAGTGTAAGGGCCCTAGTTTCTCTGTAGCTCTTTCCAAGTCCTAGTCCTAGCTAGATTGACTTCTACTTATGTTTCCCTAAGTAGTAAGCCTCAGTTTCTCATAGAGTTTTGGCAGAGATTCAAACAATATCTTGCATGTGAAGCATATAGCTCCTTGATGAACATTAGTTATCATGTATTGCATAAAACTATGTCAAGGTTAAGAAAAATTCTTATGCAGAAAAGAAAGCACAGCTGTTGGAGAGGTTTTTCTCCCCTTTTTTTTTTTTTTTTTTTTTTTTTTTGGTGGTTGTTGTCTTCATCCTTTCAGTCCCTTTATTTGACTTTTATATCTTCCCTTAGAACTTTGGAAAGATTCCTCCCACTGATAAGTGGTCTTTGGGAAGACAGTCACCCTTGGCCTTGGCCTGTTGAATCAGTGCCTAAAAACCAAGATGGAAAGCAGCAGGTCTTATTATTTTACCTCAAGCAGTGATGATTATAGACTATGTTCCCCACGGCTTCGTTTTTAAAAACTAGAGTGAAGGTAGTATAAGAAGTCAACTGTCAGATAATTTAGGAACTCATCAAATGTTAAACTCAAGTTGTTTATTCTAAAATCCTTTCTTCACAATCCCTACTGAGCCACAGACTTTGACTATTAAGTTTTGACACTTTTGGCTGTTTGTCTGTTTTTGTTATTGTGTAGCTGTTATTCCTTACCAAGTCTAAGGACTATCCTTACACTTTTGGAATGGGTATGGAACACAGGGAAGAACAAGAATAAGCTAGTATATTTTTTGTGATATATTATTCCATTTCTACCAGTGATCTTGCTGGCAGAAAATAAATGGAAGGCTTCAGTGACTCGGTTTATAATCTAACATTTGTTATGGAAAATGAGCTTCTGGTTTTAGTAAAACTTTCTCCTTTCTCTCATAAATATGAAAACAATTTGAAAACTTATTTTTGAAGCAGTGGAATTATATAGGATTATTGTGCAAATTATTAAGATAAGGATGACTGAAATTCATTTACTCAACATTTATTTGGTGTCTACTAAAGTTAGATTGTGTCCTGGTTGCTAAAAATAATGTAGCAAAGTAATAATCCCTCTCCTTATAGACTTGGAATCTGCAGGGAGGCATGATATTGACAGACATAAAACATGGGAGAAATAGTCCAAGAATCAGAATATGGGAGACCTTCAATATGGTTGTTTTTGCCCTTTGGGTTCTTAGAAAACCCTAATATCTCAAATCTTTACATTTTCATCCATAATATTTGTATACCAAAAGATGTGCGTATTTTCAAGGTTGTTATAAACAAAAAATTTTTGACTGTGAAATTACTCAAAAACGTGGCACATTTGGGGAGAGCAGAGGGTAAGGAGGGATAAGAACAGGTTGGTCTACAGGCAATAATTGACAGTTCTATAGGAGTAAGAAGTTGTAGTATGCTGTCCCACAGGAGGGTGACTACAGATAGCAATAATGTAGAATAGATTCCAAAAGCTACAAGAAAGGATTTAAAAGCTTTCACCATAGAGAAATAAAAAACTGTATGAGGTGGTCAGTATGCTTAGCCTGACTTAAACAGTACACAATATATGCACGTATCAAAACATCATATGGTTCCCCATTAATATGTAACATTTTATGCTTTCCATGTATCAACTAAAACTAAATTTCAGGAGTATACTCTATTAAAATTCTTTATTAATGCAATTATTAGGACCAGAGAAAAATGAAGCAAGAAAAATAACTACCAAAGGATTTTGAGGCTTGAGTAATAGAAGTAATATTTAAGGCACTATCGTTCATAGACTTGCCACTGATTTTTAGAGCTACCAGTAGGTATTAAAGAGATTGCACATCATGAACCTACTTTGCTTTGTCTTTTTGAGGCAAGCCTCGCTATGCAGTTCAGGATGGTCTTGAGCTCACTTTGTAGTCTCGGCTGTTCTCAAACTCACAACACCTCTCCTGCCTCAGCCTGAGTGCTGGAATTACAGGCGTGCGTCACCAGGCCCGGCCATGAACCTACTATAGAATCAGAAGACCCTCCCCTTTCCATCTATTCTTTTATTCATGTGCCACCACTAGAGAAATGTAGAAAAAGAAGATTTACAATAGGAAAAAGTTAGGGGAGGCTAACAGTAGCTTCACAGATAGTGTCATCTGTTGAATTGCTGTGTATTAAATTACAAGTCTCCTTTCCCCTTCCCCACATGGTCTAGAACTCAGGCCAGAAAGATTAGTATTAGTATTTCCCTGAAGGGAGCTTTTCCCTTTTTTTGTTTAGGGGACTGAGGTGAAGAAGCAAGAAAATACCAGCTTGGAAAATAACCATCCTTTATTCAATTAGGTCAATAGGAAAACATGCTCTGGTTCCAAACAACCAACTAGTGAAGATTTGGAACTCAAACTGTTTACAGAATGTGAGATGCCTGTAATTGCAATTACATTATTTCTCAGTAGAACTTGGGAGACACAGATCTTGACAAGTGGTCAAAACACACTGACATAACCTGGACAATTACAAGCTTGAAATACATCAAATATATTTTTAAAACTGTAGAAAAAGTAAATAATAATACAGCAATAATTACATTGTCATTAATCAATCACTTCAAGAGCCTAGAATTCATTCTTAATGAAATCTGAGACTAGTAAGTGATAGAATTGAAAAAATTTAAGTAGTTTACATTGTATTATTCTTGTTTCATGCTTAATTATTTTAAAATGAATTTTCTACTTATCATTTCAAGAAAGGTTGAATGGGTCCCGTTCCTCAGTGTAGAAAGGGTGAAAAGAAAAGGATCATGACTTGGCTCAGTGAACAGCAGCATTTAGCTAGGAGCCTTTAGAAAGGTAGCAGATGTGGTAAAAAAGAGAATCAAGTTTTGGGTCAAGACAGAATCTAAGTTCAAGCCATTCTGAATCACACATTCCAAGTTTCAGTTTTATGAAAGATCAATCCCTTGAACAGTATATATATTACAGGCTTGTTGTTAGCACAAAATAAAATAGAATTCATGATATGGAATATGCACTCCAAAACTATCAGTTCTCTTTCTTCTTAATTTATAAGGACTCTGATTGAAGTAGCCCCAGTGAATTTGTTGAGAAACAAAAACAAAGCCAAAAATCTCCTAAATTTGGTAAGAAAGATATTTAAGATAAAGGTAAACATTTGTATTAATGGTATTACTGAAGAAAAAATACTAGAACTAGGGACTATAATAGCATATCATGTGTTTATTCCTTTATTACATTTTCAGTTTTCTAGGGGAAAATGACATTAGGTAAGTGTCACACGAGTGATAACTGTGTTAGGAATTTTGAAAAAAAAAGACTACAGCCCTCTTGAAGGATATAATGGTAAAATATCCCATTCTCCTCCCCTGATGAAATTTTTGAAGAATGATAGTTTGCGCATAGAAGTTCTTGTGGAATTGGGCTGGTCTTTCTAGGGAGCAAAGTTGAAGGCTTTTAGAAGACCGCTACATCCAGACTGGTGACCTTAAGGATGGAGCTCAAGGGAGAAATAGACACAGAGACACAATGAAAGTTTTCTGAAGCTGAGGAGATTTTTGTGGGTTACATCTAGAGGATATGGCTACACTGTTATCTAGCTCGGTTCAAAGAAAGCAGTGTCAGTCATTTAGCTGAGAAAGTAGAACAGAGAACCAGACAGAAAATGATTATACTTTTTTCAGCCATGAAAGGGAGAAGATAAGAGGATAGAGGTAGGAGAAAAGGGAGAAGAAAGAAAGAATAAACAGAACAAAGCTACCATGCAGAGAGCAGGGTCAGCTAACAAGGGCACGAGTGGGCCTAAAGAGTAGAAGACAGCACCTATTGACTGAAAGGCACAGATCAGAAGGGGTATGTTGTGCTTTAATTTCGTGACCACTGAGTGAGTAACATGAATCTGTGCACCTGTAATTTACCTAATCTGCAGACAGTTCATGCCCAGAGATTCCCAAACACTGTGATAAAAATAGTTTTGCACTTAGACTGACAGAACATTTGAGTCACTTCAAGGGACGTGGGTGAGGGGCACAAACCAAGCAGAGGAAAAAGAAAAACATTAAAGGCGAACCCTCTGCAATTTCCATACAGCAGGAATGAGGAGCTATGTGAAGAAATAGGCCCCAACTAGAGAGGGCTCCGGGTGATTACAACCCCAGGGAAGTGGGTCTAGGAGAAGGAAGGGGGAGCAGAAAGTCTCACATCCTCAGAAAAAGTTCTCTTCTACTGTTTGCTTTTGCTCCCAACTCCCATGCAGTAAAAGCAGGTTCCCAAAAGCCTATGTTCCTGTCATGCAGTCGCCTCAAAATGACTTGTGCAAAGGCTACTCTTTCTTATTTCCTAGGTATAATTTCCAGGCAAGCAGGCAACAAATCTCTTTTATCCACGGAACACTCA